CCTGCTTCCCCTCACAGCAGACTTCCTAAGGAGGGGCCCCGTCCTGGTTGCTCCCAGTTGCCCTCCACCTGCCCGCTCTTCGCCTCTCTCCATGGCTCCTCCATGAGAGAAACAGCTCCTGCGAAGGCCCCCAAAGTCCTCTGTGTTTGTCACCCCCTCCAGCACTAAAGCTCAGAAGGCACGGGTAACCCCGCTGTGTTTTTAGAGCCTAGCAGGGCACCAGGCACATAGCCAGCACTGAGAAAGCATTTGTCGAATGAAAGCATGAGCGAATGAACTCCAGGGCTTCCCTCCTCAGCCTGAAATGCAGCCCCTACGTGGTCGCCGAGGGAGGTCCTGGAGCCCTTTACTCACTGGTGCCCAGGTACATGACCAGATGGCTGTGCCCGTCGACGCCCTGGACTGTCTCCACCGCGAGTCTCGTGTACTCCACGCCAGACTTCACCAGCACGGGGGTCCCCACCACCTGCTCGTCCATCAGGAAATGGTCCTTCATGAAGGTCAAGGCTTTATCAGAGGAGGGGCCCACGGAGCACTAAAGCGGGGAGGAGGAAGATCAGGTCAGCTCTCTCCTTCCCGTGAGCTCACCACTGCCTCTTCCCTCCCTCCCAGCTGCAAGCCTGCTGCGCCTCCCTCCCTCCAAGCAGTCCTCATCTTAGGAGGTGGTTAAACTCTGGAGCTGCCTGGCCTTGAATTCCAGCCTCCGAACACAGTGCCGCGTATATCACAGGCTTGGTGCGCGCACGAGATCCACGAATACGCGAAAAGTAACTAGAACAGGCGTGACATGAAGAAGTGCTCAGTAAGTGTTAGCGGTTATTACTTTCCTCCTCCTCATCGCCTTCATCCAGGGTGCCCGGCAGGAAGCAGGGCGACAGCTACCTGCTGCAGGGACCACGTCTCACTCATATCGGGAGCCCCGGGCATACCCAGCGCAAGACTGGCACGCAGCTGGTGCCCAATGGTGTTTGTGGAGTCAGTGACTGCATGACGGATGTGACAGAAAGGGGTGGTGTAGCAGGAAGCGCTTGTCACCACGGTGTGGCATGAACTTGCCACATGAGTCTGGCAGAGCCCCTTCTCCATTCGGGGCCTCCTTTTTCTCACCCATAAAGTGAGGGGATGGCGGACGCGGTGGGCCGGCTGTTCTCCAGAGGCCCTGCCAACACCAGCACGCTGTGTGTCCTGATCTCAGTCAGGATCCTTGTCCTCCACACCCAAAAGCACTATGTTAGGGCCAGCCCAACTCTGTCCCCTGCAAGCTGTGTCCTCAGGTAGGTTTCCCCACCCCGCCCCGCTATGAGCCCCCATTTCCTTGTCTGTAAGTGAGGTAATAACAGCCATGTTTCATTCTGATGCCAGAATGAGCACACGCACCTATTCTCACTTCCTCCCCCGAAAATGTCGGGGGGTGGGTTAAGGCAGAAAGCTACAGGGACTGGGAGAACAGGAGGGGAAGCGAAGGCAGCCACAGTTTGGAAGCTGGAAAGCAAATGAACACACAGCAAAAGACTTAGCAGGAAAAAAAGAAAGGACTTTTCTTAAGCCAGCCCTGGGGTAGCCAAAGCTGTCTGATTTACAAGGCAGAATTCCTAAAGGTCACGAGTGAGTGGCCCCAGCCACCTCCAGAAGTGAGGCAAGGGAGGCACGGAGTCAGAAGAGTATTTGGAAGTCTGTCCAGGACGGAGGCTGGTCTCCTGCAGCTCCCGTGCCTGGGGGACTGGCCCTGGCAGGGCCTGGCCCAGGTCTGGAGGCTCACTCTCTGGAGAGGGTAAAGTAGAGGGTCTCTGGGCGGAGGGCACGGGCACACCATGAAAGCAGGCGTGAAGGCAGGGAGGCTCAGTGCATGCTGAGACTCCTCCCTCACCCCCTCTCCCCCAACGCCAGCAGCCAGGCGGTCCCCCTCCGAGCAGAAGGCTAGAAGAGGGCTCCGGAAAACTGACTGGAGGTCAAAGGTAAGACTTGATGATATTCATGTTGAGGGTCCCCAAGAAAACCGCCCAGCCAGGCCACCTCCAGGGGACAACAGTGGAGCCAAGTCCCATCCACCGGTGCAGTTTCCAAACAGCTGCATGGTCCCCACCCTCAAGTACAGCAAAGAGCCCAGAGCTACTGGACCAAAACAAACAAATGGAAAACAAACAAACAACACAGCTAAATGATTCAGAGAAAAGAGACCTTCACGCAAAGTAGTATTACCATTTTCAGAGAGCTAAGTGAAGAGAGTGTATCCACGAAACAAGAACGTGATGCTACAAAAGAAGACTCTACTTCAAAGAGGGAGCCAGACACCACGTGTGTCCTGAAGGAAGACACACGACCACGGTGAAGGGATCAAATCACACTCATGTTACTGAGTCTCTAGACCCAACCTCCAATGAATTTACAGGAATTCCTTAAACTCCACCACAGAGAGACATGGTCACCAAGATCTAGACAGTGAAAAATTCTACATGACAAGTAAATGGCAAGAGAAAATAAGAAGATGGAAAGGGAATGTATAGATTAAAAGAGACTTAAAAGAACAATGCCTGGGGGCGCCTGGGTGGCTCAGTCAGTTGAGCATCTGACTCTTGATTTTGGCTCAGGTCATGATCTCACAGTTTGTGAGACGAGCCCCACGTCAGGCTCTGTGCTGACAGTGCAGAGCCTGCTTGGGATTCTCTCTCTCCCTCTCTCTCTGCCCCTCCCCTTCGTGTGTGCTCCCTCTCTCTCTCTGAAAAGAAACATTTCAAAAAAATAAGACAAAATTGAGACACTCTCCCAGAACGTAGGGCAAAACCGAAGTCTTGGAAAGCTGGACAGCATTTAAAAATGGAGAGGACCAGTCCAGGAGGGCCAGAAAGAAGCAAGAAAACATTCTAACATGAACGTGTCCACTCCATGAGGGAAGGGACTTCTGTCTGCTCTCTTCACTGGTGTATCCATCCCCTAGTGCTTACAACAGTGGCAGGAAGCCTCAAAAACTGTCTGTTCATTAAAAAGAAAATAGGGCAAATAGTTCAAGAAAACTTCAAACTGCAGGAACAACTTCCCAGGCTGAAGGGGCAGGCTGAATGTCCAGCACAATAAATGAACAGAGTCCCGTCAAAGCACAATACTGTGAAATTTCAGAACTGGGGACAAAGAAAAGGCACTACAAGATTCCAGTGAGAAAAAAACAGGACATTCAGAGACTTCGGAATCAGAATAGCTCTGGGTATCTCAGTACCCCCTGGGTAATAACAGGGCAAGCCTTCCAAGTTTTGCAGGAAGCTTAGTTCTAGTCTAGAATTACCTGCACACATCAAACTACCAAATGTGAAAGTCGAATAAAGACATTTTCAGACACTCAGTCTCAAAAAGTTTACCTCCACTGTATCCCTTTCCAGGAATCTATGGAGGCCACGTTCATGAAATAAGATAGTAAAACAAGAAAGAAAAAAAAAAAAAAGAGGAAGTCACAGGTTGCAAGAAACACGAGAATGTCACGGACAGATACAAAGGGAAAGCCCAGAATGATGAGCAGGGAAATTCCAGGATGGCAGCGGTGCCCTGGCCCCGGACGGCCAGCTGCTGGTCCAGGCCGCAGTGGATAGGAGCCGTTTCCAGGAACGTGAAACTGTTTGAATGCCTAATGGCTGTGTCTTCAGAAGAAATGCAGATAATTGAGGAAGAGTCTGAGGTTGAATTAATGATAAGAGCTTAGAAAACAAAGCAAGCAAACAAAC